TTAAGAAAACACCTTGTAGTGGATCTCATGGAGGCATTTTCTCAACTGAGGCTCCTTCCTCTCTGATGACTCCAGCTTGTGTCAGGTCGACACAAAACCAGCCAGCACAACTCACCCCTTGTCAACTCGACACACAAACCATCACAGTTAAGCTGCAACCCTTCCTTTCTTATTTGTCCCCAAGATCTCACATTAAAAACATAAATAACATTAAAAGTTCTATAGTCTTTACATGTTCGAACACATTAAAATTTCAGTCTCTTTAAAATATTTCATCTCTCTAAAAATACAAAACCTCTTTTAAAAGTTCCAAGTCTTTCAGCTGTGGATCCTGTAAAAATCAAGTTTAAATGAAATAACCTCTTCAAGAGGGAAGAACTGGGGCACAGTCACAATCTGAACCAAGCAAAACCAAGCTCTAATAGTGTAAATAACTCAATGTCCAGTTATCTGAGCTCCACTCACAATTTTTTTGTTTTTGGGGGTGCTCCTCCAAGGAGCTTGGGTCACTTCTCTGGCTCCAACCTCTGCAGCACACATAGCTCGTCTTCTGGGCTCTGGCCGGGTCCACTCCACTGCCGCTGCTGTTCTTGGTGGTCATCCCATGGCGCTGGCAACTCCAAAATGCTAGGATATTCTGCTGCAACTGGGCTGCACTTTCACCAACAGCCTCTCCTAGGCTCTCTTCGTGGTGCTCAGCCTCAACTTATGCATGATGCATTCAGTCCTGGCCCTTCAGCTGCCACTGAGGCTGCACTTTCACTAATGGCCTCTCCTGGCCTCTCTCAGTGCCAAGCCTCAGCTGCTCTCCATGACTCCTTCATGCCTTCAAAACCAGTACCATCCAGGTGACTCTGACACATGACCAAGTCCTGCTGCCAGCATGCGGTACAACCTTGGTTGCCTCAGGAGCATGGCTTCTGTGTGCTGTCTCTCAGGAATCACTTCCCAGAAGATTTCACCCCAACAACCCTGGTCTCTTCTTAAGCACCACCAAATTCTCTGCCCCGGCAGACCAGCATCGAGTGTCCCAGCAAGGCAAAGGTTTTGCTTTAACAGTTCTGTATCTTGTTAATCACAGCTGATTCTTCAGCCCCCCTGACCAGAACCACAGAATCTTAAATCAAAATAGCAAGTGGCCCTGATAGAGTCTTTAAACTTCCCTCTGAAATGTCACAAGCCAGGCCAGCATCCTCTGCATTGCTCTCAACATTCTTATCTTCCAGGCTCCCACAGAGGATCCCACCCAGCTCTCAACTCTCGATGGCTTTTCTTGTTCAAAGGTCTGAAGTCTTTTCCCAATCCTCCCCCAAACGTGGTCAGGTCTGTCATAGCAATACCCCATCCTGGTACCAACTTGTCTTAGGGTTTCTATTGCTAGGACAAAACACCAAAAAGCAAGATGGAGAGGAAATGGTTTATTTGGCTTGCATTTCCGTATTGCTGTTCATCACCAAAGGAAGTCAGGACAGGAACTCAGGCAGGGCAGGAGCCTGGAGGCAGGAGTGATGCAGAGGCCATGGAGGGTGCTGCTTACTGCTTGCTTCCCACTGCTTACCCAGCCTGCTTTCTTGTAGAGCTCAGGACCACCAGCCCAGGGATGGCCCCACCCACAATGGGTTGGGCCCTCCCCCATCAATCACTAATTAAGAAAATGATGTACATCCAGATCATCTCCATATGCATTTCCTCAATGAAGGTCCCCCTTTCAGATAACTCTAGCTTGTGTCAAGTTGACACACCTACACATCCCGAAACATGTAGGGACTAAGGAATGCCTGCGAGAAGCTGGGGCCAGGTCCACTTTGACAGGTTAAATAGGTGTCCTCAGTTAGCCATTTGTCCCAGGTTTGAGCCCTATCAGATTTGTCCTTCCAAGACACACTCCCAGTGACCTGGTTTTTCTAAGCAAATGATCTTCCAGCTTCCACCAAATCCTATTGAAATTTTGAATCCATCAGTGGGTCAGATGCCTGCCTGGATGAGTGCCTACACACTCACAAACACAGCCACAGGTGTGCCTTACTGGTCTCCAAGGTGTCTCAAGTCAATCAAGTTGACTCAAGATTAGCCATCCCAAGAGGTTTACAGAAGATTTAAGCAGGAAGATTGCTTAATCCAGCAAAGAACAACAAAAGGGGCAGTACAACTGAGGAACCATGGAGCCCAAGACACAGAAACAGAAACAGAAAAAGAAACAGGGAATGCCCAGGAGGGAAGTGGAGAGAGCGAGGCTGGAGAAGCCAACATTAGTTAAGTTTCTAAAAGTCTTTGACAGTACAAAATGAGGGGATAAGAATAAAAAGAACATGGCAACTAACAAGTCAGAAGAGAACCATTCCCAGCACAGCCCAAGACCAAAGCTTTTGTTTGCTGTCCTAACTCATTAATTACTTCACTTTATCTCGTGTTAGCCCTGGCTTTGGCTTGTTGTCCCCATTTTACAGGAGAAGCTTAGGCCCAGAGAGACTACGTGCCTTGCTCATCTGAGGATGTGGAGTGGAGTAGAAACCCGGGATCTTGGTTGCTGCTCTGTATGAGAGCTGTCTAAGTCAAGCTGTCCTGTCTGCAGTTGGGATTCTGTTCACTCCTGATACGCTTGGTTTGCTCGTCTTTAAACTTCCCTTCTCTCCCTTATAAGCTTGCTGAGTGCATGGATGGGTGGGGACATGGAGGAGCTAGCTCAGCGTTTGATTGGCAAGAGCCCTCCATAACACTTATTGGAAAAGTGAGTGGATGGGCAGATGGGTCGCTGCGGGTGACTGGGTAGATGGCTGCATGAATGGTGGGTAGGTGACTGGGGAGGGGGGGGGATGAATGAGTGAGTAGCTGGGTAGATAGTTGCGGACATGGATGGGTAGATGGCTGAGTGGGCAGATGGGTGGTTACAGACGGGTGGGTGGATGGATGAGTATGGGGATTGGTGGGTGGTCAGGACATGGATGGGTGATAGATGTGGACTGTTGGATTCCCTCTCCAACATACCATCTTCCCCTGTTACACCAAAGTGATCAAACATCCCAGTGTGTTGCTAATAACACAATTAACTTAAAAAAGAGATTTGGGGCCACAGTTTGGTCTATGGTCATCAACCCACATCTGGGGATGGCAGGGTCCTGAGAGGAAACAAGATGCCACATACTGAAAACTAAAGGCTGTTTACAGACATGTGACCTGGTCTCTGTCATGTCTCATAAAATCGTCAGAATTCAATCATGAGGGCTTCAGCCTGAAGTCTTTTTTATTGTTTTGTTTGTGGCATGCTCGTCCATGCACACATACATGGAGAACATGGGAAGATATCAGACCTCCTGCTCTATCATTCTCCACATTCCTTTCTTGGTACAGAGTCTCTCATTGAACCTGAAGCTCAGGTTTCTGCTGGGCTGGTTGGCCGCTGCCTATCATATTCTGGGCTACAGGAACACGGGTGAATGCTGCCTGGGTGTATGTGGGTGTTGGGGGGGGGGTCCAAACTCCAGTCTGCATGCTCACGTGCTTACCCAGGGAGCACTCTTACCCAATGGGCCATTTCCCCAGTGGGGTAGAGTGTTTTCTATTCTTGTTTGATCGTGTGCAGCCACAGCAGCTTCCCAGCATGCCCTTGGCACCTCTCAAGTGTAAAGAACACAGGGCACCACTTCACACAGGCCTGCCATCTATTCAGCACAAGCTCCATGTGGAAAACACAAGCTAGGCCAGTGTGCCAGTGGGCAGGCAGAGGAGCTGAGGAGACAGCCGTGAGGTGTGCTCCGTTGGGCTGGCAATGGTCGAGATCTTTCTAGCACAATAAAGCTAGCTTCACCCCTGCTTCTTACCGCCACATCCCTCCACCTCTGAAAAAGACATACGGGAGGGATACAGAGGCTAGTAAACACATGCCTGCCATTTACCTAATACTGTCTTCTCATCACATTTGCTTCGGATTTTCTTACTTAGTTGTCTGTTTATCGATGGATTGAGACAGGGTCTCAGTGTGGAGCCCTGGCTGGCCTGGAACTCACTACGGAGACCGGGCTGGAGATGAACTCACAGAGATCTACCTGTCTTTGTTTCCCTGGTGCTGGGATTAAAGGAGTACGTATTGGCTTCAGATTTTTAGGCCATGAAATAAGTGGAACCTGCTGACGGTTAAATGCCTTTTTACCTTTGACCTGGTTTGCTGTCATGTGCCTCACAGGTTCATGCTTTTCCTTCTCACGCTTCAATTTCCATCCTTACACCAACAGCCGTTATTACACCTCTGTGGTGCCTTGAGTAGGTCTGGCCCCATAGACTCACGGGCTTGAATGCAGGCCTCTGGGGACTGGCACTATTAGGGAGTATGGCCTTGTTGGAGGAAGTTCATCATTGTTGGGGCAGGTTTTGAGGTCTCCTATGCTCAAGCTATGCCCAGTGTGACACACAGTCTCTTCCTGCTGTTTGCAGATCAGGATGTAGAACTCTCAGCAACTTCTCCAGCACCATGTCTGCCTGCAGGCTGCCTTGCTTCCTATCATGATGGCAATGGATTGAACCTCTGAACTGTAAGCCAGCCCCAATTCAGTGTCCTGCTTTCTAAGAGTTGCTGTGGCCGTGATAGGAACCCTTTGCGGCCATAGGAACCCTAACTAAGACAGCCCCAGCAGCCTTTATTCACGAATCCAGGTTTGCAAATCCATCTCCCGTGCTATGCAGCACACAGCTACTGAGGACTGTTGGACAGATTCCTGTGAGTGGCTCCCTCAGGGCAGTGAAGCCTTGCAGCGTGCACTCTGCTTAGAGAGGCACAGTGATTCATCACAGACAAGGCATCCATCCTACCCACAGCTTTCATCATGTGACCCTGCCTCGTTTTATTATCTGTTTCTTAGTGGATGGCAATTAGCTGCGTCAACAGGGCCTCAGTGAACAGCCTTCTCCAGATCTTCACACACACACAGGTTTACGTGTTCCTTCTTATTCTGAGTTGCCTTTTAAATCATCACTTTTACTGATTGTAATAAGAAAAAGACACTCGGTAAAACTTAAAATATTTATTAGTATGGGTTAAAATCAAAAGCAACGGATACACATGAGTGCGAGGGAAACTCGTAGAACAGGGTACAAGATGCGAAGGTCCTAGGTGTCTGGGGAGGGGTTGTCTAGGCGCAAAACCTGGGTCCAGCCCAAGCAGGAACCCTTCACAGAAACACCAGGAAGGGTGATGGTCTGTGTGATGGCATGACTGCTGGGTCACTGGGTGTCACAATGACAGTGAAAGGCATGGTGGGGCCTGAACACAGCCAGAGCTCTTGGCTGAGGCTGGCTTCTTACTCCCTGCCCTGAGCCCTGCAGAGCAGCCAGGAGGGACACCTACACAGACCACAGTCCTTAACGCCACAGGGAGCGTCTCAATCCTCCAGACCTCCCTTAGGAAAGAGTGGGATTCCCATTCTTTCCCTTACAATTGGCGAGAATTCAGGTTGATCTGCACGGTGACATCATATTCAGTACCTTAATGTACCATTTTTTTTTTTAACCAAAAAAAAAACGGCAAGTCGATTCTGTACCTATGTAAAACTTTTGCCCAACTCTACCACTGTCCTTAGGGATTTCTACTGGGAAAGACTCCCTTTGACAGCATGTGCCTCACTTACAGACACAAGGTCACGAGCCAAACCCAGCCACTCTGAAGTGGATTACATGTGGGTGTAGCCAACATCCGTCATATTTACACATCAAACCTGCCACATGTGAGACAAAGAAAATGGGAGAGGTTAGGAAGGGAATTTGGGGAACAATGATAAGGAAACTATAGCCTGTGTCTGGAACAATTGTAATTTCTAGGTCTTTACATGCTTTTCTGTGATTAAAATTCAATTGGTAAAAACAGCCCAGATGGAGTCCCAAGCCGAGGGGGGAAAGGCACCAAAGGCTTACAGATGTATCTGCAGAGAAGGCCCAAGATGGTATGAATATTTGTGTGCCCAAGGCCACATACTCTTTGCTCATGGTGGTGACACATAATCATATTTTCCCTCTGCCTGGCTTTGACATCAATGGCAAGGCAGCCCAGGAAAAGCAAGGTGTTGTTCCCTCGTGTGCTTCTCCAATACACTCAGAGTGGCTCACTGTTAGGGTGAAGCCCAGACAGTTCATGCAAAATTCAGCCACTGCAAACCCCAGTCCAGAGACATGACATTCTCTTCTGGGGACAGTACCATCTCAGCTTGGAAATCTAGGCAGCCAGCTAGATAAAGGCAAGCTCCCAGGAAGATTCCCTAAAACAGGGGAAGGTTCAACATAAGCCTGGTACTACCTGGAGAGGGGCAATTTCCATTTCAACTCTATTGTTTTTTGTTTGTTTCACCTGTAGTGAGTGGATTAACCAATGTCCTATCAGCCAGTGATGCTGACAACATGGGACAGGACTCACAGTCTTTAGAGGCCCTGTCACAACATACAGATGCCATTTGCTAACAGAGTTTGAGATGCCTGCTATGGGACACTGGAGGACACTCTTGAATCAAGACAAGGATTTTTCCATCCTCCGTATTCTAAGATTCAATTAACTCCCAGGTTGGGAGAAGCAGGAAGAACCATCTGTGGACGTACACATTCTGGAGTTGACAAGCACTGTCCGTGACAGGAACCTGGCTCTGTCTGCTTGATGGCCTTTCTCTCCAAAGCTGGAAAGATTAAAGTAATTCTGATTTTATACCTCCACGGGGGTTGAGGGGCAGAATTTTAAGATGGTAACATTCCTCTGGATGGCCGGCTACAACCATGGTTAGCTGCTATTAATAGAAGTTTGCCCTACAATTTAGACTCAACATCCTCTGATTAGTTTTTTCCCCTTAGACATGGCACTATGATAGAGTCTCCTAGTAAAACAGTGCCCTGGGATTAATCATCTCCAAGAGTAGAAACCATTGCAGTGGAGAGGACGAAAGCTGGGCGGCACCTGGGATGCTGTTTATATCCTCCACCTACTACGGCTTACATACCAACTACTTAACTCTTTTAAACTGGGCCCCCATCCCCAAAATGATATGTCATGTTCCAGTCTGACTTGGCTGGTTTACGTATGACTATACTTTAGAAAAAAGTTCATCGGTTACATGAAAAGGGACACAAACGACAGTTTTGGATACAACTTTTGTCTCTTTTGCAGAAGGTCAATTCTCAGTTCAAATGACCAGCTCTACTTCTCTGAGTTCCCCCAGAAAACTAATAAGGGCTTTCTCCCAAAGCCAGCTAAAAGCCAACCTATGCCTTTGCCTTTTGGTGAACTGTCCAGAGAAGAAGGCCCTGGTCCCGGAGAAATTACTGTAATCTAACTAGGTGACGAGGAAAGTCAGAGAACAGCACACCAAGGTTTGTGAACAAATCCAGAAATTTTCTAGTATTTCTTAACAAAAATGACAACTATACCTATTACCTAGTAAGTGCAACCCCTGCCGTGTGCGTTTCATAAACCGAAGGCCATGTTGTGGTGGTTAGGTGAGTTTTCCCGAGTTTTCTATCCTCTCTTTAGGGAATGTCCCAGCCCAGCATGCTACTGGTCTCCCAGCATGCAATGCTGCTCACTCTCCAGCAGGCAGTTAGTCCGGAGGTTAGGGTCCTTCTGTGTGCACCTGACACTGGAGACGGCTCGGGCTTCTTCCTCCGAGCTTCATTTGCCATGGCCCTTGGGTTAGCAGCACCGCCGGCTGGCCTGCAAGCTCTGGGTCCCAAGCCTGATCCCTCCACTGTTTCCATTTTCATGGGGGTCCAACGGTGGGATCTGGCGGCCTGCAGGGGAAAAGGAGGCCAAAATTGAAGTTCTCTTATTTTAAAAAGCCGTACTTGGGGGAGGGGCTAGCTCCTTTCTCCTTTCCTTCAGTCTCCTCTCTTGTTTCCTACCCCCCCTTCTCTCCTCTCCTTCTTTCCTCAGTTCTTCCACACAAAGTTGAACTCATGTTTAAAAGGTTGAGGGCAACTACCAGCAGCTTTCTGACCATGCAAGCATCCCAGGAACAGAAGAAGGCATCCATTCTGTAGACCAACCCATTTCCTCAATCCCTCATGGCCCTCAGCCTTTCCATGGAGGCTCCCCGCTTTTTAGGCCTGGACTTCAATAGTAACAGCAAGCATTTATCTGTCTTTACTGCTTCTCAAAAAAAAAGAAACGGGCTGGCAACTGCAATCTTTGTAGATGTACCGTGGGCTACCTCAAACCTCACTGGCCTCACTTGGTTCATTAGCCAGAAGGCCCTCAGGCCTTAATGTCATATACAAGCAACATTATTGTGACTTCATTTAGTTTGAATTTTTGTAAATAAACACAAAGAAGGGATAAAACAGCTAAGGAAAGTTCCTAACAGTCTCCTGCCATCTCGCACAGCCAACAAGTCATACAAAACTTTTATAGGCCATTCTTGAAAAGACTTCAACAGAAACAATCGGATCGTCAGTACTGCACTTCCCTCCCCGAGACATGTTCTTTCCACTTGTAATCACAGTTGAAAGGGAGTTAAAAAATAAACCATGCCCTTTATACTCTGTCAACCTGAAGTAGGATTAAAAAAAAAAAGTCCTGGTGCCGGCTCTGAGGATCTACTCCAGCCACATCCTGCCGATAAAGGGCTGCCGGTTCCTCAGGCCAGCCGTGTGTTCAGAGGCCCCACAGTGTCAAGCTTCATGATTCTGACTATTACAATATGGTTGACTTAAAAGATAGGAACTATTTATTGTTGAGTACGGGGCATTAAAATTTTAGAATGTGAGCCAGGCAAGGGTGGCACACTCGTTGGATCCCAGCACTCGGGAGGCAGAGGCAGAGGCAGACAGATGGCTGTTGAATTTGAGGCCAGCCTGGTCTACAGAGCCAGTGAGTTCCAGGGCAGCCAGGGCCACACAGAGAAACCCTGTCTCGAAAAACTGAAAACAACAAGAAATCAGCATTTGTGACAACGACACAACCATGTCCCATAGACACTTTTCTGCTGCCTCACGGGAGCACCAACGCTGCTCTCGACTTTCAGGCCTCTCTTCACCTGTCTTTATGATGTTATGTCTGTGACGGCCCCAAATCCTGACAAAGTATGGAAGTGTGGAGTGTGTTAAAGTGACACGGGCAGAGTGGAAGCCTAGAAAGAAACTGCACCGTGAGCATGCCAGGAGCACCGGTGTCCATCCGTCCACACTCCCGCCCTTCCTGTTCCCCACACAGACAACAAACAGGCTTTCGAGTTGTGTGTGCCAACAGCCTCCTTGCCCGTGTTTTACGCCGTTGGCAAACGTGGCTTCTTAGAGCTGCCAGAGTCCTTTGCCATTCATGGTCTCTAGAGCTGGTGAGAACTGGACACAATGGCCCTCCTGTTACAGAGCAGGGCTGAGTCCTGAGGGCACCCACGGAAGCTCCTGGGTTCTAACGGCACAAGAACAGGCAGTTAGTAATGGAAGCAGAGAGAGTTTGTTAAGGAGGAGAAAGATGCTTCTGGGAACAGGAGCGGGCTAACGAGCTTCGAGAAAGTGGAGGCTGAAAAGCACGGGGCACTAGGCTCAGAACCCCTTAGCGGTCATTAACACAGGCATGGGCTTTTCTCCCGAACGCTACTGGGTGGGGAGGGGTTTCCAGTCTTTCTAAAAATTTTTTGTTGACTAAATTCTCTCCTCATGCCACTCCTTTTGCCACACCGCCTTAATCCACAAAAGTTAGACTTCAAGCCCCCCCAACTGAAGCCTTGAGGAACACCAAACACTCAACTAACTACCTTACTTTCCTATACATGTACACTTATGATAAGGTTTCACCCATGAATCAGATATAAAGAGATTTATAAAGTAACAAGTCATAAATTAGAACAATTACAACAGCAGGCTGTACTCAAAGATAAAATATGATTTTTTGATTTTTTTTTTTTAATTTCTGGGATTCCCACTCAGTACTTCCAGACGATGGTTGCTACTGACACCATGGACAAGGGAGAACCGCTGTATTTCTCAGAGGAAAATCAGTGTGGTTTCTTCAGACTTCATTTTTATCTCTTAGTAGAGAGCATTTTGAGATTTGACAATCAGTTAAATGAGCCTGGACCAGTTATGTGAAACCCCTGAGCAATTCTTCCCTCCACTATAAAAGCATGAGAAAAAAAAAGCACTATAAAAGTAAACTTGACAATCCCTACACACCATGTGCAAGGGACTCAGGGTAATAATGCCAGTTCCCGGCAGGCTCCGGCCAGGTCTCAGAGGTCTTTGCACGGGAAGAAATGCCCAGTGTTCATGATAAGGAGGCATGGGTGATTCTCAAGGTTCAGTCAGAAGGATTGTTTGGAGACCACTCTGCTTGGGGACATCACATAGTTCCCACTTCAAACAGTGTGAGCAAATGAAGGACACCCACTTAAAAGGAAGACAGATAAGAACTGGGCCCCAATAGCCAGCCAAGCACACTTTAAGAGCTAAACAAACACCACTGTGGAAATAGTGCCAGCCCCCGTGTGGTGCTCTGAGGCATTCAGAGCGTGCTGGGTAAATGTTCCCAAACAAAAGAACGGTTCTGGAAAGTGGCCACAGCATTCTGCACCAAGGAGACTCCCTGGAACACAGCTCATGGGATTCTGTTTACCTGGACACAGAACTGAGCTAAAACGACAGATGGCGTCTACACAGGCTCACACTGTTCTCTGGACGTTTCTGCTCCTACAGAGTGTCCTTCAAGCGTGCAATCTCCACAACAAAGCTGTTCTCCAACAGGAACCCTAGGCCAGTGGGTCTATTTTAACACACTTTGGGTTGTGTAAGATTCTCTTGTGCAGGCGTTAAAAAGACTTTTATCCCCCAGTTTTCCTGAAAGTTTCCGGGGAAAAAAACATGTTTTACAAACACTTCCTCGGGAATGCAAAATGTGGAAATAAATTCCAAACCCATGAGTCCAGCCCAGCTTGGCTGGGGCAGCCGCCCTGAGGCACCCAAAGCAGCCTGCTCCCTGCAGCTGTTCTGGCTGATAGACTCTGCTTCTGAACACTCGACTTCCCTGCAACAGTTCTGCCGTCTGTCTCTTCTTCAACTCCTTTCTCTGACGACTGGACTCTCTCTCCTTCAGTGTCAAGTGTAACTGTTTCTGATGTGAGTCTCCAAATCATCCAGACTGGTGGCTTGACCAAGTTTGCTAGGGCTTGGCAGGACTAATCTCCTTGATATGGGCCCGAGGGCTTCTCCCTTGGGAGAGGCAGTCCTGGTGGAAAACTGCAATTGCTCATACATGAGCAGGAATCACTCTAGCAATCCTCTGGTTACCATACAGAGATGATACTAGAAAACCTTTTTGTTTGTTTTTGAGACAGGGTCTCTCTTTGCAGCCCAGACTATCCTTGAACTCACTATGTAGACCTGTCTACCATAAATTCACAGAGATCCACCTGCCTCTTCAGGGGTGCTGGGAGCAAAGGCATTGGGTTGCTCACACTCCGCCCAACTTGATAAGCAGTGTTTTATGGGCATCCATGGGAGGCCTGCCTTTTTCTGAATATAAAGGAGGAGTGGGGGGGTAGAGGTGAGTTGCGGGGGATGGACTAGGAAGAGAGGGGGAAAACTGCAGTCGGGGTGTTAGATAAATATGAAACAGAGGGAAACGTTTAGTGTTAGGATAAAGAGTCGACTGTGAGGAGAGAGCTCGGATCCTATAAAGGACCAGAATGGACTGGGAAGCAGATGCTGCACATGGCGAGGAAACCCACAGAAAGCTCAGGCCCAAGATTAGGAGAGCTACAGTGAGCACAACGAGAGAGATAGAAAGGAAAGAGGCAGAGAGAGGAAATCCCAGGCCAGACATGACAACTGAATAGAAACAAGCATCTGAAAGTAGAGAACCCCAAATCCCAAACTTAAAAAGGCCTAGGGAGCCAGCGAAGGATGTAGCTCCAGGGTAGCGTGCATGCCTAGCGCGGCTTCGTCCAGCACTACAAAATAATCCCAGCACTTGGGAGGCAGAGGCAGGTGGACCTCTGTGAGTTCTAGATCAGCCTGCTCTACAAGAGTGAGTTCCAGGACAGCCTCCAAAGCCACAGAGAAACCCTGTCTCAGAAAACCAAACAAAAAAACAAAAAGCAAAATAAATAAATAAACATTAACCACAATAAACACACTTTGGTCAAATATGTCCTAACAATATCTAACACATATCCTGATTAAAAAAAATTTTTTTTAAAAATGTCTAGGAAGCCAAAGTCATAGATAGCTATGCTACGAAGCGGGAGCAGGCCCGTTCCCATTGGCTACCAACCTAAGGACTTCAACAGCAACTGCTGTCAGATTTTAATGGGAGTGACTTCCATAGGGAGACTTTTGCTACGAAGAAAAAAAAAAAAACAAACTGAAAACTTCCCTTCCCCTTTCCTTCTCGAAGTTGATACTTTTTCTAAAATCATTTTTATTCTTGGCCTCCAGTGAAGATTAGCCCTTACATGTCTCTGTCTTCACCTCCCATTTCCTGTTTGTTGTTAACGTCTTGGGTAGTGTAAGATGCCAGTCCCAACTGGTGAGCTAATATTAACTCGCTACTGCTAACTACAGCCCAGTTTTCGCATAGGGTTCTCTTCGTTATACATCCTATGGGTTTCCATAAATGTTCATTGACGTGTCTCCATCATTACAGCATCAAATAGAATCATCTCACAGCCCTAACACACACACTCTCTCTCTCTCTCTCTCTCTCTCTCTCTCTCTCTCTCTCTTCCCCCCACCCTGTTCTGTTCCTGGTTGTTGTCAACTTGACACAAGCTAAAGCCACCTGGGAAGAGGGCTCT